CATGGACTGCTCAAGAAGGGTGGCTTTCAGCATGAACCCTAATCCCAAGACCGTACTCGGACACTGAAAGCTCTACCTTTGTCGGAAAAACCACCTAGAAAACTTATGACAGATTCCCAAAAACCTAAGCACATCCAGGGTCCAGGAAAGCCCTGGACCATGTCCTTGAACCCTACTCCCCGAATCTTCAGCCCTAAACCTTATAAGCCCTACACTTCAAACACGAAACCTTACCTAAAACCCTAGGCTTAAAATCCCACAAACCTTGAACCCTGAATCCTGAACCATAAGCCCTACATACCAAACCCTTCAATCCTAGACTCTAACACCCTAAACCCTAGAGCCTAACCCCTAAAACCCTAAACCCTTCAATCCCAAACCCTAAATCCCAAACACTAGAACCCTAAATCCCTAAACCCCTAAGCCCCTAAAGCCTAAACCCCTAAAACCCTAAATCCCTAAAGCCTAAACCCCTAAAACCCTAAACCCAAAATCCTAGAACCCTAAACCCCAAGCCCTAACCCTGACGGACCTTCAGCCACGAGGCTAGGCATGGCGGTTGAGCCCCAGCCCCCCCAACCCGACGCCTACTTCTGAACAAAACGACCTTCTGTGTGGGGTGTAGGGTTTGTATAGGGTTTAGGATTTTAAGGTTTATTGGGTTTAGGGGTTAGTTTTTTTCCATGGGACCTTGTTTAGGGTTTAGGGATTAGGGTTCTGGGTTTAGGGATAGGGTTTAGGGTATGAAGGGCTGCCCAAAGTTTCAGGCTTAGGTTTTGGGGCTTAGAAAGGCCAACACGGCTCATTTAAGGAGATGTGAAGGGTTTCAGGGCTTAGGGCTTCCAAAAATCACTTGCCAACTTTGGGGGATTCCTTACTGCACAAATCATCGTATTTGGGATAATTTGGCAACCCTATTTAGGTATATAATGAAAGATTTGCGAATCCTAGACCCTAAACCTGTTGCAGGATATTACCTGGTTAAACCTAAAGCTGAGCCAGAAGTCCAAAACAACCACCCAGCAGAACATCCTTAACCCTAAGCCCTGCACCCTATTCTGAGCTCGTACAACATAGGTGGTAGCGTTTCTTTTGGGGTTAAGGTACTATGGACCCAGGTCCTTATAAGGACCCCCAAATAAAAGCCTGCAATTGTTGTGCCTCGGAACCCTTCAGGGACAATGGCTAAACCCCAAACCCTAAATTCAGGGATGAGGGTTTAGGCTTGAGGGTCTAGGGCCCTGTTATGGTACCTTCTCAAATACCTCATAATCCCTATATGGCACACGACATGCTGCACCGCGTAGTGTTCAGGGCTTTCAGACCTTTCTGACAGCCGTCGAGAAAACAACGGTCGATAAGGATTCAATATATGCCCTACGCCTCCACCCTGAAACCAAGATCTTAAACTCCTGAAATGAACCCCCCTGCCATGGGACCCTTATCGATACTCTTGGGTTCGAGGTTGAAGGCGCAACAGCGGGGAGGAAGCAGGACCAAGCATCTTCAGCAATAACCCCAGCTGAGGCGTCAGGTGCAGGGTTTAGGGGTTTTGCAGGTGTGAAAGGTGCGCAGGTCCAGAAACAAGGACACATGCAAGACAAATATGCCTATACTCAAACTGCTTGGCGCTCCTGAGAAAGCCATAACCCTAGGGATCCAAATAGCCCCCAGTGTAGGTCAGATTTACAGACTTCAGGGCCCAATGTAGGTATTGTTTGTGTACTTGGATCCCTGGAGTAATGTCATGGTGCACCTTCATTTTTCGACGCGTAGGGACATCACGTCTTCTGTCTGAGGGCCACCACCCCCGCATTAACTACGAACGACGGCTGACAGGTCATACACGCGATGGTCGTGCGCTGCGTACGCGTAGCATTGGGATGCAGACCCGAGAAGGGTTTTTTAAGGCGGACTCCCGCCCTGTAATAGTGACTATAAGGGATAATAAACATACTATGAAGCTACTATATTCCTCCTATACCACTGTTACAGGGTGGGGGGTCTTCCTAAGGGGTTTTCAAAGAATCGGGAGCCCCTTTTGGGGAGCTGCCTATGCACGGAAACCTTCGTGAAGGATCTCAAACATGCTTGTCTGCCGGACATTTTCTCTAGCTCAGTTGGTGGAATCGCTCCGCGGGCCTAGAGATGCTCCTCTTGCCGAACTGATCGTTGGCAAGAATGTGGATGAAGGGACCTCCTAGGACAAGGTTGGTAAGAAAGTCCCTCATATAGGGGTTGTCTACAGGGGTATATATGGGGTTATATACCCTGGGCAACGAGTCTCAAGGATCGAGGCGGGCAACCGCGGCCAGGCTTCAAAAACGTACCTTACCCGACTCCAACCCTAAACCCTCAACCCTAAACCACGCGGCTCAATCTGGGTGAATACCGCATGCTGTTCCAAGAACCAACGTACATGTCCTGACAACGGGCAGCGCAAAGGGTCCATGTAAATATATAATGCACACTTGGGGCCCAAAATGGCCCAATGGAATTTCCCTATGGTTAGTTGCTTTAGGGCCCAAGTGCATATGATATAGCTTCATGGGTGCTGTGGGCAAGTGCCTGGTGGCAGCTGACTGCCGCTGTCCCAACGTCGAAGGATATTGTACACAACCCTGCCAAAAAGGCTCGCAAAATACAGTGGCCCCATATGAGCTATAGTCTAAACTCCTAGTATCCGCCTTCATGACCCCTGTGATACTCCCCCATCCCCTACATAATCCTTGTAAGGAGTTTAGCCTATAGCTTATATACGCCCCAAGTACGGGAATCCGGGAAAGGGAACCCTAGACCCTAACCCAGTTCTTGCTAGTTCTCTGCAGGGAAAGGGGTACATATTGTGTAGGGATGACCTGAGGATAGTGCTCCCTGATTCCCTACCAAGAACCAGTGAGCTTTTGAATGAGTTCAAGGCTGCCAAGGCGATCTTGGTAGTTGACGGTCAAGTTCGGGTGCAGTTGACGTGGTAAGGTCACATAGTTACATCCACCAGTATGCTACGGCTCGTGAGATTCTGATAGCTCGCCCGGCAGAACCTTCACCCTCAACGCGGAAGAAAAATCGGTGCACTCTTGACGCACTCCCTACATGAAAGAGCTATAACGAGAGAATTCTGGTAACCCCAACGCTCCTATAAGGGGTCATATGATGGTTATAGGGTCCTAGTTTGGGGGGTTGGCGTTATCAAGCCCTTCTGACGACCCCCAGACCCTAAACTCCAAACCCCAAACCTTAAACCCAAAGCTCACCAGCAGTCCTAGACCCCAAAACCCAAAACTGTGTGAGTGCTCCTTGTACATCATGGCCGGGAAGAACTTGTAGTCTCTGTATCATGAGGGGGTCGCCGGGCGCCGGCGGTTTCTCAACTTCGAAGCCTTGCTATGGGCTTGCTATCCGTGAGGGTCGAAGTACCCAAGAACCATATGAGTTACTGTCTAAACTCCTAGTATCCCCCTTAATAAGCACTAAAATACTCCCCAATATAATCCCCTATATATCCCCCCGTTAAGGAGTTTAGACTATGGCTCATATACTCTCCCCCCAAAAATATTAGAATTACGAATACCCAAACCCCAAGTACCCAATTATCAGGTACATGCAGCCTTATAGGGAATTGTTTGGTTTGGAGTTTAAGAGGAGAAGGAAAGTAACTCTGGGTCCCTGACTCCTAAACCCTACCATCATAGGTTAGGGTTCCTAGCCCCGTTTTGAACTAGAATGCCAGGAATTGCATTGTGAATACACAAGGGTTCCGGGCTGCAGGGTTCAGGGGTTATGGGGGTTAAGGCTTCGGGTTGGGCATTCTACTTGTTCTCGGACTTTTTCCGAAGTCCGAACGAAACCCTAAACCCTAAACCCTAAGCCATAATGGTTCACCTATTTGGGTGTGGCGAGGAAGGTTGAGGTCCCGCTTGGCCGCTGTGTCTGTTCCGAAACCAAACCCCTAATAAACCTTGACCCCAAACCCTAGAATGGTATGTTTAGGGTTTGGGTTTGGGTTTCCAACATTGAAGGGCCCTTCCTGGACCTCCCTAACCCCAAATCTGTAAATCCCCAATGGCCAGTCCCGGAAGCCAAATCCGTAAAGCTGCAATCATAACCGAAGCACTAGACTCCAGGTCATAAACCCTAAACCCTACAGCCTAAACCTTAAACCCTAGGCACTAAATCCTTAAACCTGTCCTAAACCCTAAATCGTAAACCCTAAATCCTAATTCCTAAATCCTAATTCCCCAAATCCTCAATTCCCCGACACCTTCAACCCCAAACTCACGAACCGCGAAACCCCCAGTTTGCCTGTCGGGGACCTTCTCCAACAGCGGCTCGGTCACCCCGACTCTTCGCAAGGCATGGCGAGCGTTGCCTGTGGGTCAACGGCTTGGGACTTACAGCCCCCCTTAAGTAGATAGAATATGGGTTATATGGGGATCTTATTTTCATATACCCAAAGCTATATTCTATCTACTTAAGGGGGACTATAGGGACTAGGGTTTTATAGGGTTTAAGGTTTAGCGTTAAGGGGTTTAGGATCTAAGTGGTACTCAGACCCTCCTATGTAGTTCCCTTTCATAGCCCTGTACCCAAAAACCCATAACAAACCCCCCAAAAAAAACAAGGAGCCCTTAAGTAGAGCTTCAAATCAGAGGTCAAAGGCAGCCCTGAGTTTGGGCGCAGCGTTTACGGTTTAGGGTTTAAGGTTTAGGCTTTAGGGTTTCTGCTTTAGGGCTGAGGAATCTGCAGTCTGGGATTAGGGCAAGTAGGGTGGAGCTTTTTACAGCTATGAGGTCCAAAAGATGTATTAAAAAGTTCCCATGCCGCCCCCCCGAGCCGTGAGGGGGGGGTGCAATATAAGAAGCAAGAGGGCAGTTAACCCTAAGCCCTAACTCATGAAAGTACCTTCGCTGCTTCGAGCTCTTAACTGCCGGTTCTGAGGACAATCTAGACACATGAAGGGCAGGGTTTTGGATTCTTCAGGGACATCAGAAAGTGCGCACAATTTCTACCCCCCCCCCCCTCTCCCAACCCCACCCTAAACCCTAAGGTTTCTTAAGCCAACACCCTTCTTGACATGTCGCCCTGCGGCCCTCCTGACCAAAGTCATCCCCAGAATTACTTGATGCAACTCCACTGTATATTTAGGGTCATGCAGGATTTTTAGTATCCACTGCACTCGCTTCCCCTAGTGTATGAGCTAGAGCCAATACCTATATCCTGCATAGTTACAGTGGAAAAGAACTTGGAACATACAATGAAAACTGGAGTTGTAAAGGGGGTATAGAGATAGATAGTTCCCATTAACTCACGGCTGCGATTCGAGCAAATATCGGAAACTATATTGAACTACTAAAGGGATCCCTATGTCCACCCTTAACGATCTCTCGGTAGGCCTAATATTGACAGTAGCTCTTATAACCAATCCTCTCCTGTTATTGAACACTCTCCGCTACGGTATTGCAATACCATAGCGGGGAGTAAGCCCTAAACGCTAAACCTCGGGGCTTTATAATGGGGTGAAAGCAGAGGTGCTGATTTTGCGAAGTCACACCCTAAACCCAAGGATGCGTCAACCCGAAACACTTGGGCTACCCAAAGCCCTAAACCCCACACCCTAACCTTGGGATGACTACCCTAAACCCTTAACCCTAATCTGCTTGGATGAAGACCCTAAACCCTAAACCTTGGACTACAGCCCCTACGTTCAACCCTACGTCCTAATACCCATCATCTTGCTTTGTGAGGACAAGGAGCCATCGAGCTGCAGCTGCTGGCTGCGCATCATCTGAAAGAGCTCCAAAGCCTCTGCCCAAAGGACCTGAGAAGAGCTTGGGATACAGGCTTCAAGGATCACCGTATAGGGGGTAGGGATTTAGTTTGAGAGAGTCTGGAATAAGGTTGGGGACTCTTAATCGTCTAGGGCTCGGTAGGTGAGTTCATACTGGTTGCGCACTGTTGGTATCTCATGGGCCCTTGCTTGAATGGATTTAGGGCTTAGTGTGTAGGGTTCAGGCTTTGTGGTTTCGGGCCTAGGGCTGGAAATTTAATGTTGGGAGCCCGAAAGGCTTCTCAATCATAGCAGGGGCATGACCAAATGGTCGGTTTGTTTGTGGTATTTAGCGTTGGTATGGGCATTCCGGTAGCAACAACAGGGATGCAAAGGCCTGCGTTTTGAAGGCAGGGATGTGTGTGCACCATATGCGCAGCTGATTTCTGGCTACGAGTCGGTCCTCCATATTGGACACCAACTACATACACTCACCGACATTCAGAGGGAACCAAGTATGAACTCACCAACAAACGATGACAAACTCTAAACCAACAACGCTAAACCCCAAATCCTAAACTCTAAAACCTAAACTTAAACCTTGAACATCTTAGACCCTAAATCCTCAACATCCCTCAACCTTACACCCTAAATTCGCAAATCCTAAACTCTAAACCTTAGACCCTAAACCCCAAATCCTAAACTCTAAACCCTAAGCTTAAAACCCTAAACCCCAAATCCTGGACTCTTTATACACATCGGGCCGACTGCAGGCTTGAGGCAACGACATGAAACCCCTAAACCTATGTAAGCTGTAATGATTGGGGCTTAGGGCTTAGGGTTTAGGGTTTAGGGCTTAGGGTTTTAGGGTTTAGGGCTTAGGGTTTAGGGCTTAGGGTTTAGGGTTTTAGGTTTTTAGGGGAACTATTGCCGTGGACTTATCCAAAAAATGCTCTTAGGAATCCTACTGGGATAAGGGTCTACGATTCAGGGTTTGCAGGGAACGCCATGTAGTAACAAAGGAAATCATTGGGAATGCTAGGAATTTAGAGTAGGGCCCCTGTTGAGTCTCCAGCTGGCTGAGCGTTGCCGCAGGCGGTAAGAGCCACTGTGTATGTTATGAGGTCAGGCGGCACCTGTGGCGCAGCTATCCCGCTGAATACAGTACTGCTTCATCATTGGGATACAAGTAACCCGAAGTAATTGCGTTGCTAAAAGTTTCAGTGAATGAAGATTTCAAACGTATATTCAGCTTAGACTCAAGGTATTAAGCAATGATCGGGCAATGCAGCGAGTCGGTAAACAACACAAGCAGCAGAGTAGCCACACTACCCACATGACTGGCAGGACGTGCGATGACAAGGCTCTTTTGTATTCTTGCTTCCTGCACCCTAAACCCCTATAACATAGTAGTTTCCATTTTCTTTTCCATTACCCCAATATAACCCCCTATATAATCAGGGTGAGAATTGTCAGTAATCCTCAGAATACTGGTCACATCACAGAAGCGCTGAACTAATTGAAGCGAGAACAGACATGACGACTATTATTATCAGTTTTCATGATGATAACGGAAAAAATGATGGCCACGATATTGATAGCAACGAAAACCATACTTTTCGGAGCCTGCGACGTGCTCATGTCATCAATGATGCGCATCACCAAATCCAGGCGGCCGAGCTTGGCGAAGGCATTTGCTGTAGTGTTGAAACCTTCAGCGCAGTTGAGGGTGAAGTTCTGGTTGCGCGTTCCAGGCCTTTCAAGCTCAAGGGTTCAGGGTTTTAGGGACTTCAAGTCTCCGTGAGTGTGGGAAGGAAGGGCCTTCAATCGGTCTGCACCAATCCAGGTATGACTTGCACCCTCTCTGTCCGAGCGGCGCGGCTAGATCCAATAGTGGGGGCTTCCAAAACTTAAACTTCAACTGTCCTGAATCCCACAAGCAGTTGCTGCTGCCAAGAGGTCGTCAACAGAAGCACTCTGAAAAACGATCAACAATACCGCACCTTAACAAATCTTGGACTTTGTGTTGCTATGCTGTCTCTGTCCCTGCCCTCTCGGACTACACGAATTATCACGTGGGACTGCGAGGAATACTTTCCATGGCCTTTTGGCGAAAAGCTTGTCGTAAGACTTCCTCCATCCACAGTAATGTTGCGTGTCATGCTCACTTAACCCCTGAAACCCCCAATCTCTGTACGGTTCCGGTTTCCACGTGGTTTTCCATTTGTTTCTCCAAAATCCCCCTATAACCATCCTATATTCCTCATGGAACTATATCAGTGGTCGTACCCTAAGCCCTGAAGCCTAAACTGTGGTTGGACTGGGTCCCTGGCTCACACTGTTGCGGTCCGTCATCGATGCGAGGCAGCTCAAAGCGGCGTCCCAGCTGCTCGACCTCGCGAAGGCCTGGAACTACGAAGGCCTGGAACTAATACGGATCCCAGAAACCCTAAGCCCTAAACGCAAAAAGGACCCAAATCATGGACCCCCCAACAACGAACCCATTACTACATTGGGGAACCTGGAAAATTCTTGGGAGGTCCAATTTTCCATTTTTTTGGTTTAGGGTTCGTGGATGGAGGCAATCTTGCACCACATAACCTACCCTAATTATACACCAGCAATTACAAGATTTGGAGAAGCCTATGTGGTGCAAGATTTTCTCCATCCGCCGCAAGTCCGAGTCAAGTACGGAGGGGTCAGGGCTTCCGGTCAAGAGTTGCAGGGCTAGGTCTTGGTGTCTGGGCAGAGAATCTTGACGAAAGTGCGAAGCTTATCCATGTGGCAAGCAAGCTTCAGTTCGTTGTAGATGAGTTTTTGCTTGTGACCCCTGGAGTATCCTGCTCCGTTCGGACCTTGCGGGGAAACCCCCTCCGAGGCCTTTGAGCCGTAGTGAAAACACCTAGTATCCCCCCTACAATATTCCCGTATATAATCCCCTATGCAACCCCCTTTAAGGACTTTTTACTATAGTACATATAGTATATTGGAATTATTCGGCATGAAGCCCATCTAAGGTTACAAGGGACCCTTTTGGTGTTCCAATCATTTGATTGCTTTTGATTGCTTTGAAGTACTCCCCTCCCTTGAGAATAATCCCCCCTATGGTACCATTATGTATAAGGGTAATATGTATTATCAGTGGCTTAGGGGTTAGTATTAGGGAAGGGCAGTATGTACGCTCAATTGAGCACCCCGCCTTGAGCAACATGTTGTGGCATGCCACATCAGCTTTGAATCCGTACAGCGGCATAGCATTGATCCACCTCTGCGCTGAAGCAGCATCGCCTGCTGGTGTCTGACAATTAGCACAACTCGTTCTATGTATGATTGCATATATACATATGTCTCTCTCTCTCTCTCTGTCCCTCCCTCCCTCCCTCCCTCTTCTTGGAAGGAGGGTTCGGGTGAATCATTTTCATACACGTCCTACCCTACAATAGATCATGTTAGCGGGCTTTCCTGTTCCGTCACCATCTTGCAGCATGCCCCGCCTCAAACTAACATGGAATGCCAAACAGGGCGCGAGAAAGGTTTCTGTTCTTCTGAAGCGGGGCTATCTGGCGTTTCATGCTTGTTGGGGGAAGGTTTAGTGGACAAAGGGCACAAAGATTTGTTTAGAGGGTTAGGGTTCAGGCTCCAGGCGCAAAAAACAATCTCTTCTGCTGTTTTTAGCATCAAGGTTTGGGTATCTGGACCCGTAGGCCTGAAATCCACGCACTAAACCCTAAACTCCAAACCCTAAGATAATCCTTGGCCCTAACCTTACGCCTTATCCTTTAGGGTTCAGGGTTTAGGGTTGAAGGTTCGGGGCCCGCTAACCCTAAACCTGAGACCCTTACCCCAATCAACAACTTAAACCGCAAACGTCGTCCTCTTGAGGCGCAAGTGTTGAGGGCGGTCTTGAAGACGACAAGATCGATGTCTGCCTCGTCCTGATTCAGCATTGGGATGGGGTTAGGATTTGGGGCTTAGACGTTTTTTAATTAGTGGTTGGGTTGAGGGTTAGGTTGGCTGTCTGGGCTCAGGGTAACAGAATGAATGGTTTGGTGCTTGGATGGTTGCACTCAGGATTACGCGTTGGGGTTTGATGCTTGGGTCTTGGCGCCAGGTGAACTGTCATAAACTTTCTCGCTTTGAAGCCTTTTTGCGTCAGGAGCAATCAGTCTTCGGTGGTTCTGGCAGGTACTGGCTGGACCAAGTTGACAAACATTATTTCAAGGGTTAGGGCGGCTTAGGGTTTAGGGTTGAAGGCTTAGTGAGGAAAACTTCCCAGAAGCAATTGAAGCCCTTGTTTCCTAAGTGTTTTAAGCTTCATGGTTTACTTGCTGGCGGTTCCTGGGGAAATCGAAGAATGGATCCCTATAACAGTCCCCATATGGGGGGTTTCTAGAAATTTTGGGGTACCTCTCTTGGGTCCCAAGAATAAGGATGATGGTATTTTGGGGTCTGTATTGGGGTCCCCTTATCTTGGGAAAACTACCATCTACTCCGCCCGCCATAATGGAGTACCTCCTATCTTTCCCATTCCTTCATTCCCTACCCGCAACCATCAAATTCAGGGTCCCAAGAGGAGATGAACCATGCGTTCCCTCAAGCATGGAACCTTAAACCCTAAACCCACAACCCTAAACCCTAAACCCTTACCCCAAAACCCTTAACCCAAAACCCTTAACCCAAAACCCTAAACCCATGGCAAGCACGCCCGGCACCTTCACACTCTCCAGGTATGCCAGAGCGCCGTCAGTTTCGCCACAGCGGTTGTAAGCTTCAACCACAGCCTCAGCGTCGGCAATTTGAGAAACATGTTTAAAACGGGGCTGCCTTAAGTAAGAGGTACCTTTTTGAGGGTCCTCAAAACAAGGATTCTAGCATATTGGGGTCTCTATTGGGGTCCCCTTATTTTGGGAAACCACCACATAGGAAGCCTCAATGCTCATCTTACGAGCAGACTACAAGAAATGTGGCTAGGAATGCGAACAGGCGGCTCTAGAAGATGTAGGGGCCTGAAAACTGGAATAACGTTTTCGGCACATTACAGTCGAACTCTATGAGGGTTAAACCCCAAGCCCCTATAACCAGTCAGGCTCCTTCTACAGGAAAACAGCTATCCCAATATAACCCCAAGATAACGCCAATATAACCCCAAGATAACCCCAATATAACCCCAAGATAACGCCAATATATCCCCAATATAACCCCGGTATAATCCCAATATAAGGAGCCCCTAAACCCTAAACCCATCAGGCTCCTTCTACAGGAAAGCAGGAGCTTGCAACCATGGAGCTGTAAGAGACTCCACTGTGGGGTGCAGCGCGCGCTGACGCATGTCTTGTAGCAGTTGCCTGCTTACAAGCGCATGGGAAGTTTTAGGCAGGGCTGGAAATATTTGAAATAAGTTTAGGGTTTAGGGTTTAGGGAATACATGAAATAAGTTTATGGGCAGGTCTGACTTACTCAACTCACCTCTTGAAGCCCATGCCAGTCATCGCTCGTATCTGTTGGGGCTACAGTCTACCATACCTCAAATAGGGGTACCTTTTTGCGAGTCCCCATAACGAGGATTAGAATATTTGGGGATCTATATGGGGTCCCCCTATGTGGGGAGGCTACCATGTGAGCTACTGTCAATATTGGCCTTATCGAAGGACCCTGAAGAGTGGACATAGAGGTCCCTCTCGTAAGTGGTATAATCACTAATATGATCCCTCATGAGGAACCTATGTCCGTTAAATTATGTAGGACACATTATGACCGTAGCTCATGTATACATGTATAAGCCCCAAACCCTGTACTCTAAATTCTAAAGCCCCGAGTCCCCTCATTTAGGGAGACCTATATATGAGCCATAAGCTAAAATCTCAGTATCCCCCTTAATAACCCCTGTAGTAGTCTCGTATATAATCCCGTATATAACCCCGGAGATTAGACCGTAGTTCATATCTTACCTGAAGCATCTATTAATGCTTGTCATGGCACCCCTATCTTCATCCTCAGAAGTACTGGCATAAACCCTAAAGGTCTGGGGTTTAGAGCTTAGGGCTTAGGGTTTAAGGCTTAGGGTTCAGGGCTTAGGGTTTTGGGTTTAGGGCCAAGGGTTTAGCAAGCCAACAGCGAGAGTGCTCCTCCCTTCTGAACACAAGGCACTCAAGTGTGCAATTGAATTCCCTTGAACCCGAGATCCTAATTAAGCACTGCAGATCCTAAATGAGTCACCCTAAGCCCAGAGCTCTAAGCCCAAAACCCTCAACCCAGAAAAAACAAGAACCCCTCAACCCTCAACCCATAACTGCCCTAAACCCCATACCAACAGCCCTGAACCCCGAGTGATTTTCAGGCCCGACAGCGGTCCTTGTTTCTTGGATCCGTCCCTCCTGGCGCTTGGCCCATGAAGCCAAACCGTGCCAGATTTGGGGTTTCGGGCTTGGGGGATTTTAGGGGTTTAATGGTTGAGGGTTTGGGGTTTTAGGGTTTGGGGTTTCAGGGCTTAGAATTAAGGGTTTCGGATCTATCCATAAAGGTTAGGGGAAACCCTTTGGAGGCGCAATGCGGCTGTAGGGATGAATAATTAAAGAGTTGGGATTGGTTTCAGATTTGGATTTCTGGGGATTAAGGATTCATAGAACCCTAAACCACCCTGAAGCCTAAACCGTTTTGGGGATAAGGGGCTGACTCGTAGGTTTGGGGCGGTTGTCTCCTGAGGCTCTGCTTGAAGGTCCATGGTTTGGGTAGGTATAGGGGTCAGAGTCGGCATAACCAAAATGCAAATCTAAACTTAAACCAAACATACCCATGTTAGGGGGACTTAGGCCCTAGTTTTTTTCATATGATCTGGTTGTAAGTATATGTACACCACAATGAAAACTACCCCGACCTTCTAAGTAGGTTCCCTGCAAAGGGCAATACGGCTATAGGGGGTAAAAAAACTAGGGTATGCGGTCGAAAGTTCAGGGCATACACTTGGGTCCAAGCACTGAGGATGTAGGATTTAGGGTTCAAGGTTTGGGTTTGCCAAAAAGGGGTTCTCGCAGGTAACCAAATGTCTATGGAGTATTATTGGACAATCTACTCGGGACAGCTCCAACCTAAAACTAGGTTTGGGGTTTAGAGTCTAAGCATTATCATGGTTCTGGGCTAAACCAGAAGCCCTGTTAGAATTCTCCAGTAATCAGACGCTGTCCTTTTCCCTAGTATAACCCTACTATAACCCTATTATGTACCCCTATATAACCCCAATATCTGCATTCTGAAACTCAACCATAAACCCCAAACCCGGTGTCCGATATCCTTGGCCAGCCCATTCAGCAGCACGTTGTGCTCTATGACCCCGGCAACCATGCCGCACCTTGCCGTACGGTTTAGGAAGGAGGGTTTGGGGTTTAGGGTGTAAGGCCT